CAAAGGGTCCTTTGTGCTAGAAGGGAGTCCATGAAGGTGCTGACTGACTCCTGGTGAATGGCGTTCAGTGCTTGTCGGTACGCCGTCCTGTCCAGCGGTTGTTGTGTGTGTTGCTGGATTGTGTCCTTCAAATCTAGTACACCCTTTCTGATGTGCCTAGGTGGAGGTTCAGCCTCTATTAGGTGCCTACTGGGGTGCTCCCTGCGGTAGCATACCAATAGGAACTGCTTGCACAGCAAAGAATTATGCTCCTTAACTCGTAGCATAGATGCTTCCCTGTGCAAGTGATGCTCCGGCGACATCAGAAGGTTTCCTGTCACGGTCCTGAGGGCGGTGTTATGGCAAGCCTGTAACTTCTTCATCTGCGCCTCGTTCGTCCCCGGCGTCCAGATCGGTGCAGCATAGTTTACGACCGGCCGGCCAATTGCTTTGTAAGTAGCCAGCAAAGTTTCTTTATCTTTACTCCAGGTGCTGCCGGCTAGCGCTTTGAGTATTTTGTTGCGGCTCTGGAGTTTTGCGGCAATCACGATCGTATGCGGAGTGAAGGAGTGCAGACTGTCTAGAGTTACCCCAATATTTTTGGGTTATTTACCGTCGGAATTTTTGTGTCATCGACCTTCACATCCAGTTCAAGCCTGTATTCCTTCATCCAGCTGGTGAAAAGGGTAGCCGAGGATTTTGTCGGTTGGATTCGTAATTGTCTTGCAGTGAAGAAGTGGGAGAGATCAGCGAGGTAGAAGTTTACTTTCGAGCAGAGGTCATCAATATCCTGGCCGGACCCTATTATCGTACATTATCGCCTAGGCATACGAGGTTAGGGAAACTCCTTCTGGTGGTGGAGGGAGTTTCGAGATGTAAAAGTTAAACAGTAGCGGGGAGAGGACACCACCATGCGGAACCTCCTGTTTAATTTTTCTGGGCTTAGATATTACACTTCGGAATATTACCGATGATTGTCGATTACTCAGGTAGCCCATGACCCATCTCTGCAACCCCGGCGGTAATGAGGATTCCTCAATGTCCGTTAGTAGCACTGAGTGATTGACTGTGTCAAAAGCTTTTGACAAGTCCAGTGCTACTAGGACAGTTTGCGCGCAGGGTCGGTTTTGGTTGAGGCCATGGACTATCTGGGTGTTTATGGAGTTAAGTGCTGTTGTGGTGCTGTGCACTTTTCGAAAGCCATGCTGATGCGCTGCTGGACGCAGATGGTGAGTGAAGGTCGGGAGCAGTAAGGCCTCAAGTGTCTTCGCTACTGGGGAGAGGAGAGTTATCGGCCGATAAGACTCTCCTTTGTTGGCTGGTTTCCCCGGTTTAAGTAGCGGGACCACCCTACCCATTTTCAACACGTCGGGTATCTTCAGGGTGGTCAGGGACAAATTGAGGACCCTCGTGAGAAATTCTGCTCCCGCTGGTCCAAGATGTTTCAGCATAAGCATGCTGCGTATTCCTTTATGGTTTCAATCCTTGTTTCAGCCAAACTAATTTACCAATCTTAATAAAATAATAAAATCTGCAGCAATTAAATAGCGCTAAATTATAAATAAATTGTTAAAAAATTTACATTTTAACGGACTTGATGCAAAAAAGTAACGCTAATCTGTTCGGATGCGATTACAAAGTGAGTTGTATTTTTATGTTATGTAGTTAGCAGTAAAAAAAAAATATTTTATATTTGTATATTGTTACGATTTTGCTAAATCAACCTCGATGATTTTCTGAATCCTTCGGGTACCATCTCTGGATTGTTAAATAAAAGATCGCCAACTTAATTTGAAGTTTCTTTCGTTATCAAGAAATTATCTAATGTCCTTTAATTACTCAGTAATTCACAATTCAATTAAAATGCACTTCACTAGTTACAATCACTTGCATTAGCTTTCACAATTTACTTTACTTAAATGTTATCTCCAAAAGTTTATTCCGCTATACTCTATGTAAACGCCAACGAGTTCACTTTGTAACTGACTTGACTTGGCAGCTGAGTGTCCCCTTATATAGTAGACGGCTGCTCGTAGACGAAAGTGTAGAATAATCGAGTTGTTCGCTATCGAAGGTTCTCGTTTTATCGTTCTAGAATGTACTAGTTATCGGCTTCTCTTTCATCTGACATTCGCCTCGCATTTTCGCAACACTGCCCTCCACATTCGCTGTTCCAAACTCAGCAAGCCTCTCAAAGTGGACCACTTTCATCTTGTTTCTTGGGCTCCCAACGTTTTGAATTCGACACACTACGTCGTTTAGTCGTTTGATTATCTTGTATGGACCTTCCCAATTACATTGAAGTTTTGGGGACAAACCCCTCTTCCGTTGTGGATTGTACAGCAACACCAGATCTTCCTTTTGGAAACCTCGCCTTCATTTTGTCACTCATAACTTGAGTTCGCTGTCTCACAAGAGCATGTACCTCTCTTAGCTCTTCCTCGAGATCGGTAGACGTTACCTTCCCAATTCTTCTCGCATCGCCAGTTATTCCAAATTTTAAATCGCTGGGCAACCGTAGTTCACTACCAAACAGTATCCTCGCAGGTGTTTGCCCTGTAGTTACATGCACGGCGGACCGATATCCCATCAGGAAAAGCGGTATATGCACATCCCAATCATCCTGATGCTTGTCCACTACTTTTCGCAAGTGCTCTTCCAGGGTCCGGTTGAATCGCTCTACCATACCATCTGATTGAGGATGTAGGGCTGTCGTTCGGGTTTTTCGAATACCAAGTATTTGGCACATCTCCTGGAACACCGCCGATTCAAAGTTTCTTCCCTGATCTGAGTGCAATTCTATAGGCGCACCGTATCTGGTAACCCAATTGTTAGTGAATGCATCCGCAACTGTTTTTGCTTCTTGGTTTGGGATTGGGTAAACTTCAGGCCATTTACTGAAATTGTCCATTGCTCATAGGGAATGGACCGGCTACATCCATGGCAACCCGCTCAAATGGTGCCCCTACGTTATACTGCTTGATCTGCCAATGACTTTGGGTTTTTGGGCCTTTAGCTGCTATGCACTCCGACAGCCAACCCAATAGAACCGCTGCTTGAACTTTTCCAGCGTTTTTGTAATGCCGAGGTGCCCTCCACTAGAACCGTTATGGAATTCCTTAAGAACATCCGGAGTTCTTAACTTCGGAAGTACTATTAGCTTCCGGGAGCACTGGCCATCTTCATTTTCCAACACTCTATGCAAACAGCCAGATATCAGCTCTAAATTGCTCCATTGTGCCCAGTATGCCTTCGCGATAGGACTTTCCGCAGCCAGTTGTTCCTTACTTGGTCGTCTATTTACCTCCAACCCGTGCATTAATAATTCTAAATCTGGGTCTTCCTGCTGGCATTTCCTTAAGTTACTTGCCTCCCACTCTTCTACTCGCGTAACTTTCATTAGCCGGACGTCTATTGTGTCTTCTTTAACCTCAGCTTTTAAGCAATTTTTACATTCTATATTACATGGTCGACGGGACATAGCGTCGGCATTTTCGTGCGTATTCCCCTTGCGGTGCTCGATTGTGAAGTCATAACTTTGCAGCCTCTCAATCCACCGTGATAGCTGCCCTTCAGGATTCTTGAACTTCAGCGCTGCATGATCCGTTCTAACTCGGAAATGTTGACCATACAGATATTTGTGGAAGCGTTTGATGCAATCCACCAAGGCTAATAGTTCTCTTCGTGTCACGCAGTAGTTTCGCTCTAGTTTACCAATAGACCGACTATAGTAAGCAACTACCTTCTCCTGCCCATCAATCTCTTGCGAGACTTTACCTCCTATGCCATAACCACTAGCATCTGTGTCCAGAATAAATGTTGCACCTGGGACCGGGTACGCTAGCATATGCGCAGTGCATAGCCGTTTTTTTAAAGCTTGTTTTTGTACTCCTCGAAAATCGCTTCAGCAGTTACGAAGCGCCAATTATATATAAATCTTCTATAAAAGCGTACAGATATTAGCGTATGCCGATATGTGTATAACATTGGCCTCAACAAACAGACTGTAAGTTCAGCTTTATCCTGGCTAGATGATGAACCGAAGTGAATGGCACTGGCAGCGCATGAGGACAACACCAAATATCACCTGCCATCGGACAAACGTCATTCACATATTGACTTCTAGAAACCAACAACAATGTATGTCTTGAAATCAAGTGCAGAATTACCCTAACCAATAGGTGTTAATTTGGATTAGGTGGCAATTGAGAAGTAAAATCATCCCTCCTTGAATAAAGGCCGTGCCCAATAAGTCGTTACCTGCATAGAATGCCACACTTGGTGGTCGCCAATATTGACATAGTTCAGCGAGTAAATAGACAGCGATTGGAACTGAACTGAGGAACTCACGTTTTCCGAATGAATGAAAGCGCTCCAGCTTTGAAAATATTCGTTGCAGTATTCGCCGGTGGCAGTAGAGGAAGATGAAGACCTCTATTTCGTTGGAAAGTTCAGTTGTAAAAACAGTGTCTGTACCAATGAAGATGAAAATGCTTATTCTTCGTGCTCATCCTCAGTTGACTGGGAAATGACTTTGATGGCGCTGGAGCAGACTGCAAGATCTATTTTCAAATGAGTTAGAATAAAGCAGAAGTTTCGTCTTTATATGTTTCCCGCCACTGTATTCAATCGTTGTTATCTTATCTCTTTTAATAAGCCCATAGTCAGCTGAAGAAGCCTATGTACCATTTTGACCGCCGGCCCGTGTTTTTAAGATTGAATAGACCGATTGTCTGCTCAGGAGCACGCAGAGAGCGTAAAAAAGTCTTCATTAAGAGCAGGAAGGAGTACGTTGAAAATCCTTAGAGAAAGTCTGAGTTTTTGGACCCTTCTTCCTTGCTTACTTTGATGATGGATAGAAAATATATTTGGTCAAAAGGTCCATTTGTGACTTTCGACCATGAGAAGAAATTAAGTCGGTATCGAACAGTAAACCTTCCGCATGGTAGTACGGATTGTCAATCACTCATCTATTGCGGTCCAACAATTCACTAAGTAGGATAAATTAAAGGGTTCATATAGAGGGCAATATTTATCTGATAAAAATAATATTTTATTTCTCCTTAAAAAAACTTAATTCTACGACAGACATTTACACTTTTTATGGCAATCTTAATCTTATAAATAATTGTTCGTACTCAAAGCAACCGCTTAGCGAGCAATAAAACCTCCATCTCTTCGCAATAAATCACAATACTCAGAATCTTAAAAACTAAAAAAAATTTAATAAAATCGTAAATCGGAATTTCGCCGTCAACTGTAAGTGTATTCGTAATAATTTGCCGCCCTAATAATTTTATCGAATATGAACTCACGCACACCCAGGCCACATATGAAATCGAAATGGTTCCAACGTCTGCGTGGAATTTTGTAAACGGCCTGAAGGTTGCGCAAACGCATTAATAGCCGCCAAACGTCCTCCACCGACACGATATAATCGTTCTCAGCATAGAATATGGTAACCGGTGCTGTGACTAGTTCCAGCTGATAGTCTGGCGGCTCTAGCTGATTGTACATCAGCCAATTCCGCTCAGGGCCGTAGTCATACTGGCGGAATTTCGTTGAGACGTAGCCTTGAAAGTAGTGCATAATTTGCTTGAAGGAACCGCCCACCGGAAAGTTGGCCATTATATCAGGTAGTAAAGTCTGTAAGCAAATGAAAATCAACAAAACCACACACACACAAGTATTATACAATATATAATATAAAAATTTGAAATTTGAGCTGAATATTTACCTTGTTGAGATGTTGCGTGTCATAGCCCACAGCTGGCCACAACCGGCTGACACACACCATTGGTCGTTCGTTCTCGAAACAAAGCGACGACAGGAACTTTTTCACAAACTTGTTTGTCGACACCATCTCCATGCCCTCCAACACTTTGGCCACATAATTGCGTGTACCCAATATGGGACCGAATATCTTGGCCAACCCACCTTTTGTATTACTCACATACGCCACCGGCGCCAGCAGGTGTGCTGTCTTGAAGACCGCATTGTACTGCGGCAACACTGAGTTCAACACCAAAAAGACAGTACCGCCCTGCGAGATGCCCACAAAATGCATCTTCGCCTCGCCGGTACATTGTAGAATATAGTCCACCATGGCGGGCATATCATAAATGCTCATCTCATGCCAGCTAAAATTCCAGAATTCACGATCCGTCGCATTATACCAAACATTGCGGCGCGTATAGATATTGCCACGATTGTTGCCCAGCCAAATGTCGTAGCCTTGACGCCACAAGAGATATGGTAATGAGTTTTCCCGGCCATTCAGTAGCCATGCGTCTGAGGAGGCGTAGATTCCAGCTAATAGGAAAACGACCGGACGTCGCGAATATGTGCCACATAATGTTGACGCCGTTGTTGTTGTTGGTGGTGGTGGTGGTGGTGGTGCTGCAGGTGTTATTGTTGTATTATATTGTGGTATGCGGTGTAGTGTCAAGGCATAGCCGTCTTTAGTCAACACATGATGCTTCTCCACCGGATAACCGTCGCGACGTATGCGTTTCACCTGAAAGTGGAAGCGAAAGAACAAAGTCATAAAGGTAAAGGAAGAATATTTTTTATTATACTCGTATTCCTCGCATTGTCTACACTCTACACCTTTGTGCCGCTTTTGTGTAGGCGTGCGAAATTGTAAGTGGACATGATTGAGTGACTCAAGTGGGTAGAGTTTGACAATAATAGCCGCTATCGGCGTCATTGTGACACTGCGCTGACGGACGCGAAGGTGACTTACGCAAATCACCTCCACACCATATCCATCTACCTGTCTGCATGGCACAATTGACGGCTCAGCTCGGCTGCCTGGCTAAGTCGTGTTGGCTAAGTGTAGATACGTGAATTCGACACACACACGCACACAAACGCATGCTAAATGCAAATGTGCAGGTGTATCACCACACCGAGCTCTACACAAACCTTATCGGCCTTCAATGCCATTTCACAGTTGTTGTTATTGTCATGTTTATTAGCAATTCACCTTCTGCAGGTAGTACTTACATACATATATGTACTTAAAGTGCTTAAGAGGAAATGACCAATACGTAAATTATGAGTAAATCATGCCTTTTTCAGTTTCAAAATGTCAACGAATTGCCAAAATTGTAAGAATCCTAAATATTTTGAGATTTTTTTTTTAAATTAAAGTTCTTTAAATGACATTTCTCAAAAAAATGCAACAAATTTTTCCCATTCATTACAAAAATATAAAGGGTGATTTTTTAGACATGTTAGTTTGGAACGAGAGATCTAAATTTACGAGTATCAAAAATAAAAGGGTGGCCATTGTGTTTTAAAAATTGTTTCGGACAAGTGGTCGTCACGGCTGGCTCGAAGGAATACCACATGACAGGCCATTTGACCATATTTTGCAGCAAACGGGCCCGTAAGTTGGTGATAACGTACCTCTTTAAAGAGGTCAATCGTATCGGGCTTATCTGGGTAGGCAAAACATAGTCCAGCGGTATTAAATCGCACGATTTTAGAGGCCACGCCACACGACCACGACGCGAGATATGCGCTCAGTAAAAGTTTCTTTCAATAAATTAATTGGTTCGTTTGCTGCAAGGCTTGTGGCGACGACTGGTTGGAATCAAAGGTCGTCCACATTAACATCCCACAATTCAGGCATAGGGTCATTAATCATGGTTCCATAACGTGAACCATTGGCTGTAACGTTATAGCCGCCATAATGAACCAATGATTCCCTCTGCCAATGGAGCACGCTAAACAGTGACTTTTTGAGGTTGAGACGGCGTCTCAACACTGGCTTATGAATTACCATCACTCCAAGCGCGAGAATTTTGTTTATTAACGTAGCAATTCAACCAAAGGTGAGCTTCATAGCTGAGTAAAATTTTCTTTTGGAAAGTGGGGTCGGTGGATATCTGATTTTGGGACCAATAACCGAAAGTACGAGGCTCTTGATGGTCGTTCGGCTTCAATTCAGTTGCACGAGCTGAAATTTGGAAGTCCACAAACTAAGATCCTTCCACAAAGTGGATGAACACAGCGCCAATTGTACCGCGCGATAGCGGATGGACACATTTGCGTCTTCTTCGATACCCGGCTCCATAGCAGCAAGAACGTCTTCGGTGCACATTATCCACTAGAGTAAAAGTATTGTGCAACCAGTCTACGATCGCTCGAACTACTGACGCTGCTGGGAAATTTGGTCGACCGAATAAAAGACGCTGTGTACGATGAGTCGCGTGACTCGAAAAAATATTTTGGTAACGAAATTGCAACCGATGTTCCGGAGTAAGTCTGCATTCTGAAACTGCAAACCAAAGTGAGTATGAATCAAGTGTCAGCTATAAAGAAGACCAGCTCCGAAAAGAGAATATCCACACGTCTAAGAAAACATTATAATTTATTTTATTAATTATTTTTGACGATGCAAAAAAACAGCCGCGTAATAAACAACTGAACAATAGAAGTGTTCAACCTACAAAGAAACATTATGCTATTTACAAGTTACATAAAAGACAGTAGCTCCATTAGAACCCGAAAGAATCGTATTTTCAGCAGTTATTTTTGAAGGAAATTTTCAGACATTTATGTACTATATTTAAGTGGCTGCAGTCAGAACTCGTGAAACAGTGCCTGTAATGGAGGTGGTGCGATGCATCTAAAACAGTCGAACCATTTCAATTATTTCAACTTTTATGAGTGCCTCTTCCATGTGGACTAAAAAATAGCGAAGAAGTTGGAAAACTCTAAAGTTTTTCGAAGTATGACTAAAACCCACTTCAAGTTGCTAAATAAATAGTATAAATATTACTTTTATCTAACATTTTTAGTTGAAATAGAAAATAATTGAATACTGAAGCTAGAACACTTTGATCTCATATTAGGTGCAGTAGTTAGCGTTTTCTTATCCGATCAGGTTCCGCTAGATGGCGTTAGAAAGATGACACCACGATGAAAAATTTCGGTTTCATTCCGGTAATTTTGATGTAAAATATGCTTATCGGAGTGGTAGACCAATTGTCGAAAATGTCGATAAAATCATGGACATTGCTGACTCCGTCCGTCCGCAACGTAAGCACTGTTTCGATTGTCCTAAAGCTAAGGGTTATAGAAAAAAGCCGTAAGGAATCATTTCAATAAGGCTGGATACGAAAAGAAAAATGACACGTTTTAATTTTATGCAAAAATAATGGTTTTCTTTTTACTACACCAATGTATAGTTTTTGCTATCACCAGCGCCGTTTTTAGAACCTGGTCGACGCTGTTCCAAGTTCTAAAATGTGTCGGAGCCAATGTCTTGGAATAGAATAGAAAGGATTTAAGAAAAAAAAAACATTTTTTGAAGCCACTAAAGCAGGCTACTGCCTTAAAGTACTTGAATTAGGCTGGATCTTGGGAAGTCGTGACAGTCATGACGTCTCAACCGGCTAACGGTCGCAAAGGCAGTACTCCAGAGTTTCGTCCTCTTCTGTGTATTCTCTGCACTCAACATATCAAATTTAGTATTAGTTAAAAAAGATTTAGTACGCAAAGCTCTGCGCCCTGAAAAACCCGACTTAAGCAGAGTTCACATATATTAGTATACTCTTTTGAGAGAAAGCGATTGCAAAATGATTTAAGCTTAAGTGGCATCGTTTTTCTCGCTCTAAATCATCCCTATTAATGGAAGCCTCTACTTGCCTGTACCTTCGGTGAGCAAAAGCCGAGTGTTTATCAACTGCGTACGTCCAAACGGAAGGCCAGGGTTCGAGTGCTTTGACTACAATCCAGAATTAATTCTTCTAATTACGGTCGCCTCTCGTCCGAGTGAATTCCGGACATGAAAGTCAAAAGCACCTCATGAATAGCGCATTGTGGATTGACTGTAGGTCCCTCCATTTGTTACAACAGTTTTGAGATGCATACCAGAAAATGTAGAAGAAACTCGATTCAAAGTCGTCTCATTGGTTACAAGGCGTCAGTTACTTAATGTATGACTCATTACTAATTTTTAAGATTTGTGTGTATTTCCTTTCTAGTTCGAAGATATTCAATTATCTTAACTAATTTGTCATATATACTACAGTTGATAAGGCATTTCCGAAGAAAGATTCGGTACAAAAATTGTCCAAACAATCACGAAGTTTTACTTATCTTGTTAAAATTGAATTTTGAGTTATCAATAAGCCTCTGTAAGCTAAGAAATGGTATTAGTGGGAAACTTCTAAAAAAACGTGTTGACTTGGTCCCCCTCTTAACCAGGTTTCACTGTATTTTTATAACTCAGGAAATTCAATTTGTACACATACTAGACCCTCAGTTTTTGAGATATATCAAAAACTGTATGAGCAGACGTACTCGTATTACGGACCATTATAACATACCTTTACACGACCGAATTTGCGGATCTGAAATTTTAGACTATAAATATTTCAATTAAGCATCTAAGAACATGAAATTTAGTATTTTTTTTTAATAGAACTGACTCAGCTGATTGATTTCTACTGTACATATATGCAAGTGTTGCTTGGTGTTTGGTTGAAGGGAGAAGTTGAGGACGTGACCGCTAAAAACCACATTTGAATACCTTAATATACTTTTGTGAATATTTCGTTGGAAGTATTTCTCAGCTATGAAGTGGAGCAGTTGAGACCCTTAAGGTCGGAAAATTTCAGAAAATATAAAATTTTCAGAAAGACATTATTCTCAGCGGCCCATCAGGTGACATTAACAAGTAACGTAATATTATAAATTCGATAAATTCGATAAAAATAGAAGCTGAACTAAGAAGCTTTCGGCTGCTTAGCCATCACATTAGGTCATCTGCTCCATTTCTCACCTGCTTTTGATCTCTACATAGTCCAGGGCTCTTAATGCGGCCTGGTTAGATATGAATACGATTTTCTGTCAGCACAATTGAGCTGAGACCATTTAAAGTCTCATGTATTGTCACCAATTCCGCCTGAAACACAATAAAGTGATTTGCAGAATGAGGACATTCAAATGCTAAGATCTCTTGAGTAAACTCCGCCATTGACCCTGTTATCCAGTTTTGACCAATTCCTGCATCATTTGCTGCCATCCGGGTTAACTACCTTGAAATCTGTCGTGAAGTCAGCGAATGATTGATGGTTGACGGAAACTTCTTACGATGCTAGTAAGCCCTTGGTTTATTCATTCCTTTCTAAGATGACATTCGTAGCCTCAGTGGGTGAAGCGCTTAGTGCTCCGCTAATACACAGAAACGCCATCTTCTGCATTCTTGGAAATTTGGGGATGGTTGCTTTTTTCTCGAGTGTTGGCCTTCAAACTACAACGCCCTAGAGTAGTATAGACCTAATAACCGCATTATAAAGGCAACGCAGCATTTCCGGCCAATCATACTTTTGCAAATATAGAGGGCAATGTACGCTTTATGCATCCTTTCCTCCGAGTCCTTTGATCGGCTTAGTTTACTATACAGAATTATAATACATATATAATTGGCGCTTTGTAGCCGCTGAAGCGATTTTTTCGCCGAGCTCCTCCTCCAATTTGTGGTTTTGTGTCTTGATGTTTTTCCAACAAATGGAGGGACATACAGTTTGTACTAAGCCGCCACCGAACGGCTGATGGTTTTTTTGTGAGGAGCTCGTACCGAATGAGTCCCAGATATTTTGCAGACCCAGCAATGCGCTGCTTCGTTCCAGAATGCTGTCGAGAACTTTGGAATTTTATGTTTCCCAGTGAAATAAGAAAACCGTTCTCTGTGAATTGATGCCTAAATTAGCGTTACTAGCTCACTTTTCTATCCCCCTTAATCCACAGTAGGTTCAGTGCCAAGACCCATAGAAGAAGCGAGGGAACTCCTCCTTCAGTGGAAGATATTTTTGTCACATGTACGAAGAACTTAATTTGCGACCAGGTGGAAGGATTGATGAAGCTGAAAAAATTCCCAAAGGACAACAACAAATACTTGGGTGGAATGTACAAGGGGCATTTCGTTGGTGTTCACCCTTTCAGGAATGCACTATTACTGTTAAAAAGACACTTTAGACAAATGTTTCCTGAAACATAAACAAATTTATGTTTTTTTTGGTGTGTTGGTATAGCGAAACACAATCTGGTACCGTTAGTTTACAATAATTTTTTTTTGCTTTTTTTTAATTCAACTTGGAAAATTGAGTAAAGAAGTTTGTCATGAGCAGCGATGGGTTTTATTTTCTTTAATTTTTTTTAAATTTTTTTATTTTTATTTTTCTATTTTTGGCAAATGCAAATGCCGGCACGTGCGTCGAACACATAGAGTTCGCAATCTCGTTTACATTCGCATAAAAATATATGAATTTACGTACATACTCGTATATTGAAATAAGCACAACAACGAAAATGGATGAGTGACGATAAACGATTTACGATTGCGAAGATTATCATGAAACTTCAGCCCACAATGATTATTTGGTCAATGGCAATACGAAAAAACAATAACAACAATTCATGCAAAATAGAGACATGTACAGATGTATGAATGTATGTATAGTCGTACATCAAAATTATGCATTCTACGCATGCGCGCCTGACACAAACGCATGGCACGAACTATACTCATACGAGTATGCATGCAGTTTGCGCATTGCACGACCGACGCTCCCTTGGATTTGATATGGCCTTGTCGCTTAAGCGTTGCCCTCTCTATCTAAATGACTTAATGGACTCAATAAGTTAAAATATTGAAATGTTGACTTGTGCAATTTTTCATGTTATTGAGATAAGATTTTTGGTTTCTTAACAAAACAACAAAAATGATCGAAAATTGATAACGTTTTATAATGCAAGTAAACTATAATTATTTGAAAGTGGTTTGATTTAAAGCTCTCAACGCTTATACGTCTCCTCAATCTTCAAGTATGTCAGTATGGATTCCAAAGATGTTTTGGAAGAAGCATTGTCCATTATTATTTTCCTGCAGACATACATAGAACCACCTGGAATTGGTTTGTGGTCAGTTTTGCTGTAGATAGGTAAATCGTTTTCATAGAAACGTAGATGTAAACGGTGAGTGAGATCTACTGCTTACACGAAAATTTCGCACAGCGATCACTGTAAGGTCTTCAAAGAGTCTGACTTAAAACGAAAAGTTTGGAGTTTATTTTAGACGTTGTTAGTGGAGCCATATGATCTGTATGGAGCAAAAGAATAGAAAATCTATTATGCCATATCCTAATTTTAAGAAGACTTCTAAATAACTTCAGAGCTTTGTCGCTTGTTAGCCAAGATTGCTTATGTTCCATTTTGATAACTCCTACCTACTCCTGTCTACAAAACCTTCAATCACCACTATTTGAATGAGAAGGTTTACTCAGCAAAAATGGTTCATCACACATTCATACCCGATCTTGGAGTTGAAAAAATTATGCATCAGGGCATTATGAAAATAATGAAGAGATTAACTCCTGGTTCGACTAACAAAACATAAAGGAAAATTATTTTGTTTAATTGCGCTCGCCCCAGAGCAGGGAATGCCAAACTCTCCGAGTGTGTTTCTAACATGAAATAAAAGCTTCCCACAAAAGTTCATCGGCCGTTCAGAGGCAGCGCTGTATAAACTTTAGGTCCCTTCATTTGTTGGAAAACATCAAAGCCCGCACAATAAATTGGAGGAAAAGTTCGACTGAAAATCGCTTTAGCAGTTACAAAGCGCTATTTATATATATTGTTTCGTCTAAGTCAATGATTTGTGGCAGGAGAGAAATTACATTGGAAAACGGTTTTTCAGATTATTTAAACTCGTGCTCTAGACGTCAATCCATTTCTTTTCAGTAGATGACTATTTATTCTTTAGGAAACACAAATATCATGTCGCTGTCTCTTTTTTAAATTAATACCAGTAAAGACGGCTTGTTTGTCTTCAGAATTCTCTGTATCACCGGAATAAATTAGTAAAAGGCATGACTTCGACAAGTTCTTACATCGATTTTAAAATCAAATCCTACTACTACAGTTTTTAGAGAAGTCGTGTTTTGTTATTTGTGCCGAAAATAGAAAAGGTCTTTCTCTTGTTATCGGAAAATTTAGCTAAAACTAGAGCCAGGAAATCCTTAAGCCAAGTGATTGGTGCTTTGGCTATATCTCATCCCAAAACCTCCTTTATTTCTTCGCTTCTATAGGGCTGCCCCCAAAAGAAACAGGCGATTTATTAAAAGAAAATAAATACTTTTTTATAACTTTATGGTGAACTCTAGGCAAATTTTCATTTTATTGGATGATCTTCTTTCTGGCAACATCATTATTCCACGCTCATAGACCGTCTGCCCTTTATCTGCAAAAAACTGAACCAAGTGCGATTTTATAGCCTCTTCATTTTCGAAAGTTGTATCATTTTATAAGTTCAGCAATGGTCAAAATAAATAGTGTTTTAACGGTTAAATTTCAGAGCTATATGGTGCTTGCATCAACAGTTCCCAACCAAGCTCTCTAAGTTTTTGGCGAGTGACCAAAGATGCGCGCAGCCTAGCATTGTCCTGGTGGAATATAATATCTTTATGATTGACCAATTCTGGCCGCTTCTCGTTGATGGATGTATTCAATTTGTCCAATTGTTCAGAGTAGACATCTGAATTGAACGTTTGCTTTCTTGTAAGCAGCTCAAAATATACCACACCCTTCCAATCCCACCAAACTGAGAGCAAAATCTTCTTTTGGTGAATATCAGCCTTTGAAGTGATTTGTGGCGCTTCATCATGCTTGGACCATGACGTTACTGTAAACAATCCATTTTTCATCTCCAGTTAGTATTTGCCTCAAAAACGGATTATCTTCAAAGCGTTTAAGATGCATATCATAAGCTTGAAGCGGGTTGTTAAATGAAAACTTACAATTCATGTGGTATCCAAATATCAAGTTTTTTTTTGACCAGTCCAAGACGTCGTGTATGATTAGGAGCAGTTGATTTTGGTATACTTAACTTCTCTCCAATCTCACGCTGAGTTACATGACGATCCGATTCGATTAAGGCCATGATATCGTCATCAAACTTGACTTGGCCGACCTGAGTTACACGACGATCCGATTCGATTAAAGCCATCATATCGTCATCATCAACTTGGCCGACCTGAACGTGGCTTATCTTTGAGTGAAAAATCTTTCGAACGGAATCTGACAAACAGACTTCGACACTGTGTTTCTTTGAAGGCCTTATCAGCATTCAAATTATGCAACTTTTTAGCAACCTGCGGTAAAGGAAAATATGGCGAAAATATTCTTCTGTGGGCTTCATATTGAAATTGACGCCATACAAAAAACAAACAGCTTATAACTGTCAAAAGGAGAAATACAGTTATATAGTCCCAAAGTTTTCAAAAAAATTTTCAGCACTATCTGTATGAAAAATCGGCGGTTTCTTTTGGGGCAACCAATATATATACGTATAAAACTGATTTTCTCAAACCACAAAGGAAAGCAGCCATGACTAAGCGTTTAGTGTGAAGAAAGTTTTTGCTAAAGACATACTTTATGCAAGTTTTATTAGCTTAGTACATAACTACAACGATTGGCTTTAGTTTAACGCAATTTGCTTGTGGTCAGCGGGGAGTTTTTGTTAACTTATTTTATATTTTTTATACCTTTCTTGTACATGAAATCGTATTTTTTGGACCGAAGTATGTACTCGTAAGTGCTAGAAGGAGAAGAGAGAGAACCAACAAAATTTGTACCAATCAGATCAGAATGACGAGCTGAGTTCATTAACAAATGTTCGTCTGTCTGTCTGTCTGTTTGATATTACAACCAAACGTGGTATGTACGTGTGATGTATTTTTATACCACATTGAACATTTGCGGGAACCATAAATTATAGTTTCCATATAACCGAATTGTACAGATCTATTGTATGATTTTGGTTCATAAATACTTCAATAGTGCAACTGAAAGCCTGAATTTTGGTATTCCACACATATTTGATATGCTCACGAGAGGTATAAAGTCTACGGCTCGGCCGAAGGCAGCACTCTTTTCTTCTTTTATATTTATTTTAATTTAAATTTAAATTTAAATTTTAATTTTAATTATTATTTCACAAGTCATACCGCATCAGTAATGATGATGTCGCGAGTTTGACGGACGTTGATAAACGCAGCAACCATAAACGAGGATCCACTCCGCTGCAACTCCAACTGCCAGCAGCACAGACCAGTTAAGAGTAAGAGCAACAACGACTCTGTAATGTTGCAACCGATAATGGTGACAGCCATGACGCACGTTGTGAAGATGCTGCACAAGCTGTACACGTATGTGAGTGATGGCGTTAATGCTGCTGTCGTTGCGGCTAGTTAAACGCGTTCACCGAGTTGAGGTAGTGAGCGGTAGAGTTGTTGCAAAATGACATACTGGATTATGTTGGCGTAAGTTTGTATGTATGTGTGCGTGTGTGTGTGTGTGTGTGTGTGTGTTATATGGGACGAGTTGACGTATCCTATTTACATACATACATGCATGTGAGTGGCAGTCAACACACTTTTGTTGCATTTACTGCAACCAGCTAGTACCAGCGATGTGCCACGCTGGAGTTTACTTGGCGCCAAGGCGGTTGTATTCCCACAATGATTCTATCGACGACAATGATTCTTTATGTAATAATAATTAAGTAAAATTGTCTATACACGCGGCGCAAGCAATAAATAATAAAGCTCGCTGGCTGATGCTCTGCAGCGGAGGTCAAATGTGAACACTAATGGGCGCTTTGTGTTTTGGCTCGTCACAGCGGGTCGTATGCGTCGGGCGCGCGCGTTGTGTTTCAGCCGAATTGTATGTATGTATGTACCGCGTATATTTGTATATATTATTGCTTTTCACTTTTCACATTAATTGCTACTTATTGGCTTTCTTTGCCTGCTCAGTATTTTATTTCACCTTTTTTTTCTTTTTTTTTTCCGATTGCTTTTGCTTTTATTTTCTGTTGTGTGTGTTAATTTTTTGCACTTTCATTGGCGGCTTATAGTTTTTTTTTTTGCGCACAGGAAAAGGTGAAACCTCCAAATCGGTAACATGTACATGAATTCCGGGATCGCGCTGACGTAAATGTTGGCCGACTACGACGAAGACGATTGTCGTGTGCGGACTGGTGTCTGATTGTTGACTGAATGTTTTGCCGCCTCGCAATAGCGGTATCCGCACAGCCTGCGGGTTGCCATTGCGGTCCCAGCTGATGTGCGGCGCTTCTCTTCGCCGTTTACTTCAAGTATCTGTCTGTTTGTCTGGCTGCCTGCCTGTCTGTCTGTATGTACTATGTAATGTTTCTCGCGCTCATTACGTGTATTACCTTAACGCCACTCGCTTTTTAGCCCACAACCAACCTCACCGTTACACCGTTGTCTCATTGCGCTTTTAATTCATAAACTCATTTATTTATTTTGTATTTGCTGCGTTCGCATTCATCGATTGGCAATGAGCGTGTAGTCGCTAGCGCCGGTTCGAGCAGTCAGCTGCTGCCGGTTGCCAGCGACTATGACTCAAGCAGCTAAAGCAGTTCAAGCACATAAAAAAGTGACGCTTTCATTTGTCCAACGTAATCGGCGCTCGTAATTGTCACTTGGCCACATTACCTTAACTCTCCGCCACAATTGCTTGAGTTGGCTGTGCGGCCGCATTGTGCGCGTGTGTACATGTACATGCTGTGCTCCGACTCCTCCACTCGCCTTTCAATAAATAACCTGTTGTTGTGTCTGATAATTTGAATTGGCGTTTTGTTTAGGATGAGCCAGCTGAGCCAGTGACGTGATAACACGGTTACACGACGCTGTCCACCTTGCTGCCGTGCCATTTAAGCCATTCGTCGGTTTATTTCGATTTTTTCGTTTGTTTATTTTCGTCCACCTCAGTTTACAAACACTTGTCAACGCACATCATTTAAGTAATTTAATTTCATCAATAAGCGTTTAAGTATTCATCGCCCCACCGCAGCGCAGCGCTCCGCCTCTCAAGTTCTCAAGGTAAAATGCACTTTCTTTACACGAAAACCGATAAGTGCTTGCTGGCTTAAGCGCATATTTACATACATACATACATACATACTATGATTTAATTGCATATTACATGCACTTAGGTTTGCATATACATATGTATGTATGTTTGTATATTTGTAAATCTACTTATGCATTTATGAAGTGGAACAGTGTGTCATTGCAGCTCGTCCATCCGTCCATCATCTTCTCGACTTGCTGTCGCTTTTATCTTATTTTACGCGTCTTTATGATTTCTTGCTATGCGTAATTTAATCACTGGATAAGTCATAAGTCACAAGCAGACTGAAGTACTTAAATTCATATGTATGTTAACATTAGTACGGGTCGGTCACAAACAAAGCCTACTCTAGATATGATGGTCTGAGTGGGCTGACTGAGGGGTAAAATGCTCAAACAAAGACCTCTGTGAAGCAATTGTATAATAGACTGAAAAGCATGATGGAGGATAATATCCGTTGTAATGCTGAAAGTAGTATTAGAAAGAGAGAGTTAGGAATTTTAGTTACATGCCAGAGTAGATGCTAGAAAAGTGTTATGACTTTGTTAGTTAGCTGGCTAGTTAATGTGTTTACTTGATCGCTGATCAAGCGCACTTAAGCCTGTTACACCATTGCGTTGCCAAGGGTGAGCCAGTGGAAATAGATTCCTCATACCTTTCCAGACAACCAAACTACATATTTAGCTTGTTTTATGAAATATTCGATGTTATTTCCACAAGGCAATTGAAGTCAAAACTTCCGAGGAAACAATGACGGGCCGCACTGGGGTCTGAGTAGTGGAAGAGGTAATGCTCTCCCGATTCCCTCTCATCTATGACCCTGCAGCCGCGACAGAAGTCGGTAGAGAAGCAGCCCATTATTCTACCATGAGCTCCTATCAGACCGTGGTCGGTTATTACGCCAATTGTTATATTTATGTATGCCCTGTTTATAAGGAGTTGGAATTTGGATCTCTACTCTTTGGACAATGGCCAGTTTCGCCTGATTATATTGCAAATGATTTTATCCTGCCATTTCCTATTGACCCGACTGGTGAAGGTCGTTCTTAGCAGATATTATACTTTGCGGAGGAAAGAAGTAAGTTCGTGCCACGTGCAGGGTTAGACGTTAGCTGCGCAAATTCCTAGGTTGTCCCTTTTTGTTTACAGACGGGAGTTCGTTTAAGACTTCTCTACATGTTTTTGCCACCTTTGAGGTTGTGGTTTCGGCCGTGCTTCTCCTCCAAGTTGTGGTCTCGCATCTTGTTGTTTTACCAACAAAAGGACGGACCTATATTTACTATTTATACTAAACGTGAATATTTGACATGCTTCGATAATTGGAGAAAGCGTTGGCATAAGTGCATTGCATTGATAGGGGACTATTTTGTTTTTACTAAGTGTTTTATGTTTGTAGTAGATAAAGGTACCCAATTGTTAGTAAATCAGTTTAGACGTACCGTTTAATGTGTTTTATGAAACTCACAAGATTGCTGGCACTAATTCTACAATGTAGTCGGAGTAAAGGTTTACCAAGAAACGAAGTCGGACTGCACTGGACTGGGCTGGACAGTAGCAATAGCCCCCATCAGGCAATGTTCGACTTTTACGCCATTTGGTTAATGGAGGTATGGCTGAGACGAAATAGAGACTCTGTTGTATTCCTTTCGATAAATGTCCAGATCTGTCCTGCCAAATTTAATCTGTTCTCTTCTGGCTAAAGTGTTATCGTCCCTAAGTGGAGGCAAATCCTTGCTTTTTCCCAGAAATTATGTTGGGTTTTCAGCGGTTTGGATATTGAACTCAGCTGCACAAATACTTGAAATTTCCTTGTGTCTGGCATACCAAATCTGCTTCTTATCTTTCTTGATACTAGAGCCAGCTTAGCTGTGATGAGTTATATTAGCACCGCAGAATGGAGAAGCCACAAAGCGGTTAAGAGGTCTCGTGCTCGTGCTCCTGTCAATTGCGCCTCAAAGGTATCATCTACAGCCCTTGATTATATTTTATGACGTCTTTTGGCAGTGGCTCTGATCTAATATATTTGGATCATTCATTATAAACGTTTTTTGATGTAAAAATTTCATGCGAGCGTACAAGCACATACATACACAGATGTGAAGTATATAGGTTTTTTTTTGTTTTTAGTTTAACGGAAATATGATTATTGTGTCATATCTCGCACTCTCTCTGTCATCCCGATGCGATTCATAAAACCGCCATAAAACCACCATTACGAATAAGTCAAATGTTGACGTGTTTGCACGCTTTCGGACGCAATCGATAAACTACAATGCATGGTACATACATACATAAGCATATGAGTAAACGGAAAATATGTTTTCATACAGGTAGGCAAGCAGAGTGTAGACACATTTGCGTATTATTTACAATATTTCCATGCAATAATTGCCGCGTTACTCGCACATACAAATATATAAATGTACGCATGTATGTGCCTATAATTACGGCACTTTGTTTCAGCCCTGATATACTTACGGTTATATGTATGCACATATGTAAATGTCGGTATCTATTAACTAAATGTAAATAATACTCATATGCATAAGTAAATAACATGTACATACATATGTACATATGCATCTATTCAACGCAATTGTTTAATAGTTTGTTGATTGTGGACGTGCGAGGGTTAAATACTGTTAAATTTCAGTTTATTTGCACAGATTAATTGTCTCAATTGAGCGAAATTAACGCGACTTTTCGCTTTGTACTACATATTGGCACATATGTATGTATGTATGTATGTATGTACATGCTTTATATTCGGACTGCCAAGTATTTAATTGTACTTTTATGTTTGCCCTCGAATGCGGACAAGTACGGAAAGATAATACGATTTTTTTGGGAAATGCCAAAGCAAAAAATCGGAGTTGAACTTGAAAACTGTATTATGTTTGTACGAGTGTATGCAAACACATTTCATAAATACTAAGAGCTGACGATGGAGAGAAAGAGCTCACTCAGTAAAGCCTAAATTTCATCATTAACAGGTTCGGTAGTTACTGAGGGAAGTTACTGAAGGAGGCAATGGGGAACCGTCAGAACTCTCTGTGGTAGGGTAAGGGTTAGCCATATCAAACACATTTTTTTAGCAAAATACTTGATGAGGTAGAGCTTAGAAAATTAGCAATTCAAACGGAAATAGTTAGTTTTGTGCCATTTTGAAGGTAATGTCATTATGCCTCTCTCAAGGAAACCTTATTCCCTGTTGGCAAAAAATTATGACAATCGATTTTCACAGGCTACTCCTGAGACCGATTCTTCACCAGTCAAATCATACATCAAAAACAGATACAAGTAATCTCTTGGTGCGAGGTCCAGTCTATAAGAATAGAACTAAGCTCTCGAAGTATCTGTCGAGTCACTATCGATGTGAGTGGTCTGGCGTTGCCCTGATGAGACGCAATTCCCTTCCTTTCGTTCAGAGATGGGTACTTATGGGCGAGTACTTCTTTCAGACAATCCAATTGTTAACAGTAAATGTCCCAATTAAGAGTTTGGTCTTAGCGGAGCAGCTCATAGATTATGAATCTTTGTCAAACGCACCAATCCTGGTTTGGAGATCGTTTGTGCCGGCTCACTGCCCTTCGAGCACGACCAGTTTCGTTTGACTTTGTTGTAAATGAGCCAGGTTTAGTCACCTAACACCATTCGCTTGTTACGATTCTGCAGCCATACGGAGATGGAAATATGGTTCATGAGATTTTCTCTTGTTAACTCATGTCTCATCCATACATCTAGCTGATTTGTGTATCCAGCATTTTTCAAAGGCTATTAAACTGTTTTTTGTGCAAAGTTTATCTCCTAAGCAAACGAAAAAGTGCTCGCATGACAGTCTGACTCGACGTTTTCCATTATTTTATCGACATGTTCGGCAATTGGTCTTTTACATACAGAAACATTTTCTACATCAAGATTACCGGAACGAAATATGGTCCATGAGCCGAAATTGTGTATGGTGGACCGTTGCAGTGTTGGGACCATAAGCATTATTCACATTATCAGTAGCCTGACTTCCGTTTTCGTCTTTATCGGAGAAAAATTTAGAATAAAGCGTAATTTCCCTCTGGTGGTGACACATCTTCAGATATCGTTTTGAGTACAAAATAGGATTTTTTCGAGCGATCCAACGAAATCCAATCGCACTTATAGAACGCGAGATACAGATCTCTAAAACCGTGGGATTTAATTATTGCAATATTTTTCTCAACTAAGGCGACTTCCTTCTCGTTAAAAATTGCTTTTTTAGCCTCCACCCTACCTTTATACTTCTACAGAGGGCTATCACGGCGCACCATTTTCTATTTCAGTGAAC